CTGTTAGTTTCGAACTACTGACCTTAAGGTTCACAGACCAATTCATAACCACTACGCTATCAGAGCTCCTTATGTATATATAAATCAAACCAAATCACTGCCATTGAGTCAATTCTGACTGTACAATTAAAGTCCTGATGTGGCACCTAGGATAAGCACTGGGTTGCAAGGCTGGTTCAAACCCAAAGATCAGTAGTTCAAACTCACCAGGCACTCCTTGGAAACCCTACACAGGGTTGCTATGAGTCGGAACTGACTAGCTGGCACTTAACAACAATATACACAATTGGGGGCAGGGGGAAGCCACGATGAAAACGATATATGAGACAATTTTGCAATATTTGTTGTGCTTTCTTAAGCTTTCCACATTGTGGGCATGAATTAGTTCAGTTTCAAGCTTGCACTAGTTTACTGTAACCAGTTGCAAGGCCTGAACTCTTGAGACAGGCCCAACTAGGTCAGGCCAAGCCAGCAGACCAGCGTGGGAACGAATGGCTTGTTATTAATGATTAGAAAAATTTTAATTATTGTTGGTAGATGATCTCAGACTTAATTGGTTCAGATCCAGCAACAACATAGTATAATTGTATAATAAATTGCTCCTGTCAGAGTCAAAGAAAGCCATGTTACTTAAAACTCGAATAACATTGGACATTACTGAAAATTTTCTATTAAGAGTTAGCAAAACTGGATTTTTAAAATGCCCTGGCCAGAATCTACTCTACTATTCTCTTCTCCAATCATTTTTTTGTCCCTCGGAAATTCCTGGATGATGCATATTATTAAGTGCTTAACTACTAACCCACCTGGGGGCACTGCTGAAGAGAAGTCTGGCATCTGCTTCAAAAAGATCACAGCCTTACCCAAAATGGGGAGCGGGGGCAGCTACAAAGGCAAGAAATGACTGGCTTACAAGCTTTCAAGAGGGAACCTAGATCCAGAGGGCCTGGAGGAAGGTAGAATCTCCAGTGAGTAGTATTCAATCTGACTAGGCAGGGCTGATGCAATGACATGCAGACGGGTCTCTTGTGATACAATAGTGAGTAATTGTTATCAGGACTGATTGTGAGGGTTGGAAATGTAAAGGTAGACATTTTATAGCAAGGAGGGGCGTGAATAACTTTTCAGTCTAGGAGCGGAGGTCCCTAGGACCATCAAGGGAGAAGAGCAGAGAGCGGGACCCTACCCAGAGAAGCAGTGATGCCTGAAATGGAGCCAGAGATGATGTCGTGGAGCAATGGAGCAGCTGGAGACTTTAGATCCAGAGAGGGAGAGCGACTGTGTGCTGAAGACCTGGGGGGTACGGGGGAAGGATTGCATGGAGGGGATTGTAACCATGGCAATGAGACGATATATGATAGTATGAATGTAAAACTAATGTTCTCCCATGTAAACTATCACATAATTCACAATAAAACATTAAAAAAAAAAAAAAAAGATCACAGCCTTGAAATGTTTGTGGAACAATGAATTCCAGTCTGCACACAAGGAGTCACCAGGATTTGTAATTGACTCCATGACAGCTTCTTGCTCTTGGCTTTTGAGTCCCTCACGCAATAACCTATAAATCAGATTCTTGATTGTATGATTGATAAATATTCACCTACCATCTGGGATATTTGGAACCCTACCTGCGGGATTAGTAGAAATCAAACAGGTAGAGCAAAAGAAAGAACATTCCAGACTGAGAATACAGCCTTGGTGGCAGTCAAGGTGACCATGATTAGGGAGGAGAGGTAGACATGATGTCCTTTTCCAGGGACTGGTTCTTCCTGGTAGCATGTCCAAAGTCTGTGAGGCCAGATCATAAGAGCCTTGTAAATGTTCAGATTTTTATCAACAATGCAATAGGGAGCCATTGAAGGGTTCTGAGGAGGAGAGTGACATAATCCAACTTACAGGCTATGCCTGTCACACTAGTAACTGTGGAGAGAATAAGGTGGAGAGAGACAGAGAAGGAGCTCTCATCCAAGCAAGAGATGGTAGATAGTAACCTGGAATAGGATGATGCTCATGAAGGTGGAGAGAAGTAGACAGGTTCAAAACCAATATTGAGGCAGAATTGATAGGACTTGACAAAGAATATGCCCAACTTAAGAGTCCCCGTGCGTAGTGGTTACAAATCGGGCTGCGAACCTTAAGGTCAGCGGTTTGAAACTACCAGCCGCTCCGCGGGAGAAAGATGAGGCTTTCTACTCCCGTAAAGATTTACACCCTGAGAAACCCTGTACAGGGTCGCTATGGGTCGGAACCGACTCGATGGCACTTAACAACAACAACAACAACAAGAGTCCCGGTGTGGCACTGAGGATTAACACGCCAGACTGCAAAGCTGTTTGAACTGCAAGGTCGGTGGTTCAAGCTCACCAGCTGTTCCTTGGAAACCCTATAAGGGTTGCTATGGGTTGGAACTGGCTTGATGGTACTTAACCACAACAACAACTAGAGATAGGCTATTTATGAGTTGTTGTTTTCCAAGGGCTGCAAACACAGTTTCAGGCTGCAGCTTTGAGATCAAGCTGGATCCTCAGAGAAGATATTGGTCCATATTACCTTCCCCCAAACCAAGAACCTACACTGAACTCAGGTTTTCTCAGTTGTTACTAAGAATGCTACAGTCAAATCAATGCCCTCTTCCTTTCATTTAGACCATTGTTGGGGACATTGCTTCCACTACTTAGGAATCTATAAGAAGATTCCCAAGAGAAATGTCTTCTAGTGCTATGCTAATTGCTAAGAACATCTCTCTTCCTGGAGGCAGTGGTGTTCTTTTCATTATCTGACAAAGTAGAAAGTTGTGCATGGGTCTCTCATCCTGTTGCCAAGAAGCTCAGAGCCAAATTAAAGCCCTGCTATGGTAGCACATAGCTCTGTGTAATCCTGGGGCTCCTGCTTTGCTCCCTGCCATTACTCCAGCTTCTGTCTGCCTCATGGCACACCGACTCGTATTTCTGTCTCCCCTGATCTATGGTCTATTCTTATCCTGATGCTACCATTCCTGGTTGGGTCTGTTCTGATGAAAGCGATGCCTTTTATAGATGGACATGGGGAAGACTTTGCATCTTCATCCCAGTTTTCACAGGGGCATCTCAAAGGCCCAGTGATGACATTCTAAATGTTGAGCTGTGGCTTGGTGATCCTCAGTTGTTCTACATGAACCCATATCCTGTTGGGGCTGCTCCAACCCACTGGGCCCACAGGCCTCTCACCTCCTCTCCATTGCCTCGATGGTCTCAACCAGGGGCATGTTGCGGGTCTCAGTTAGGAGGCAGATGGCCAGCCCAGCCAGGATGGATGTGGCCCCGAATCCCACAGGTGGCAGGATGGTGCTGAACTCCCCGAGTGTGGTGACCAGGGGTGCTGCCAGACCCCCAAGGCGGGCATTGACTGAGGCAAAGCCCATCCCCATCTGCCTGTTGGAGGAGTGTGGACTGGTCAGTGGCCGTTCCCAGGAGCCCCCAGTCGTCTGGGAGCTGCAGGTCCAGGGGTGTCAGAGGACAGAGCAGAAAGGAGGGCTCCCACCAAGTTTCTAGTTGAGCAGATATTCACCTCCTTCCCCCAGGCACCCACCTGATCTCTGTGGGGTACAGCTCGCCTGTAAACAGGTACACACAGATGAAGGAGCTGGCCAGGCAGCCTTTACCTAGTGCTGCCTGGGCTGTGCGCAGTATCTGCATATCTAGAAAGAGTGGAAGAGGCAGAAGAGTCAGGGCCCAGAAAGCAAACGCAAATGACGCTTCTTTGCTGCATGCCTCCCTCCTCTCTCATTTCTGTCTACCACCGAGTCCTGCTGGTAGGACAAGCTCTGAAATCACAGCCCCCAAACCCACTACTGTCTAGTCCATTCCCACTCAGTGACCCTGGAGGACAGAGTAGAACTGCCTCGTAGGGTTTCCAGGGCCATCATCTTGACTGAATCTGACTGCCGCATCATTCTCCCACAGAGCAACTGGTGGATTCAAACCACCGAGCTTTCTGACAGCAGCTGAGCATTTAACCACTGCACCACTAGGGCTCTGGGTTCAAATTCTGGCCTGAGCCCAACTGAGTGACCTCAGTCAGTGTTTACTTAACCTCTCTGAGCTTCTTGCCCTGAGCTGTAAAATGAAGACTATGTCATAGGTTGGCATGAATGATGTCATGAGTGAAAAGTGCTTCTTGCTGTTAAGGGCTGTGGACTTGGTTCTGACCCACAGTGACCCTGTACAGGGTTTCCAAGGAGCAGCTGGTGGGTTTGAACTTTGTTGTTAGCAGATCAGTGCTTATCCTACAACGCCACACCAGGACTCCAAAAAGGAGCGGCTGCCTTTGCATCGGGGAATCGAACCCTGGTGTCCTGTGTGACAGTCAGGGATACTCACCACCATACTGTTGTTGCTGTTAAGTGCTGTTGAGTTAGTTCTGACTCGTAGTGACCCTGTATAGGGTTTCCGAGGAGTGGCTGGTGAGTTTGAACCACCGACTTTGAGGTTCAAACCAACCTTGTGGTCTGGTGTCATACCAAGACTTTTTTTTTTCTATTTGTAAATATGGTTTTGCCATTTATAAATAATAACATGGTAAGCACATGAATAATGGTACAGGATATGTTTTATAAGCAATAAGCCTAGTGCTTATTAAACATTTCCTGTTATCATTATTCATGTGCTTACCATGTTATTATGTATAAAAAGCAAAGCCAAGGGAACAAATCTTTACAACAAAGATCATTCCCA